TTCCGATCTTGATGTAATTCGGCAAATGGATGATGTGATTCGGCAAATGGATGATAAAATTCGACAAAAAGATGATGCGATTCGGCAAATGGATGATATGATTCAGCAAAAAGATGATGTGATTCGGCAAAAGGACGATAAAATTCGGCAAAAAAACGAAGAAATTAAGAAAAAAGAAGAAATGATTTGCACTATTTATGAAATGTGTAAGAAATATAATAAAGATGCTTTCTAGAAATTTAATATTTTTTATTCCGGAACTGCATTGTATCTTTGAATGATATAGTGCAGGCATTCTTAAATTAGCAAATAAAATATACAATTTTTAAAAGTTTATAAAATAAAAAATTAAAATAGTTATAAACCAAATTTTTTTATAGAACAGGTAAAATCGAATTTAAAAAAACAAATTTATGGTTACAGGTAGGGTTGCAATTATACCGGTATAATAAAAAATGGTAGTATAATACAGTTAACCCCCTCTATAATTACACGTTTTGTTTACTTAATAACTTTTTTAAAAAATGTGCTTATATAAAGGTAATTTTTTATATGCTTAATAGCAATTTGTATTTGAGTATAGAATGTGATAAAGAGGGGTTTTAATATGATGTGATTATAGAGGGGGATGACTGTATTGTATTATACTGTATAGGGTAGTATAATTGGTATAGTTCTTGCAATCTTTAGTAATAAAGTTGTTATTATACGATAAACAACTGTTGATACTAGAAATATATATTTTTTAAATTATTAATAAATATATAATACTTATTTATATTTATCTTTTTATTACAAAGTTTGTTATAGTATTTGCTAAATACTTATTATGTAGTTAAAAAATACTTGGCAAATATCTATTTGGTCTAAGGTATATTAAATTGCAATTACAAGCATCTATTATAAGTATTTATAAAATATTTAAAAATTAAGTATTTAATTAATATAAAATTAATACTTAATAAGTAGTTAAAATTTTAAGTATTTTTAAAATATTAAATTTTGGTATTTATTAAGTACTGGTATTTTACTAAATACAAGCTTGCATTTAGTACAACTTTATAATATTATGATATTGTATTCATACTCTTAAAAATTATACTTTAAATTAATTTATACTTTTTGTTAGATTGGCAATTTTATAAAATATAGTATTCACATATATTTAATAATAGTAAGATAATAAAGATTATTATCTGATATTATTTTGTATAGTAAATTTTAATATTTGTTAGAAGTTAGATAGCTTTTATAACAAATTTTTAAAATTTATAAACAAAGTATTTAGACAATAAAAAATAATAATATATTTTATTTTATATTTATACTTAATTTAATTTAAAATCTCAATATTTTTTATTACTCTTTTTAATAATCCCTTGAACCAACTTTTCAAACCAAAAAATTTTAACAAAAACAATAAAACTATGTTAGAAAAAAAGGATATAAGACTGACAAGAACCATAAACTGGCATCTATTATTTAAAAATAGTTCTTATACACTATCTGCTAATAGGTTTAGAGCTTATTATTTACTATGAGGATAGCACTTGTTATTTAGAAGTAGTTCTTATATGCTACTTGCTAACAAGTTCAAAGTTTATTATTTACTGAAAAAAATATCAGCAGTATACTTAGATCTACTTGTCTTATTATTTTTGAAGAAATATATACACTTTCTTAAGAAAAATACAAGGTCTATATTCTTTACTATCTATTACCTACTTGTGCCTACAATAAAATTTTTGAAAAAAGTAGGCAAAATAGCTTATCTTTGTCAAAAGATTAATATTGTTTACTTTTTTCAAATTCAGTTGACTTAGTAGATTGTAATCATGTGTTTTGTTTAATGACAAATATATTGCTATGTTATACTGTATAACAAGTTTATTGTCTAGTTTACAATTAAAGGTTTACTTGAAATTGATCATATAGTTAAAAAAAAAACTAATATATCAAGATGAAGTCTTATAGTTAAGATATACAGATATTGTATTTATTATATAATTTTTAAAGCCTTGTATAGATTATAATAGTATTATTAAATCTTTTTTTTTTTTGTTATTTTTCTTTTTTAAAATTCGTGCTTTATTTTTTCTTTTGATTTGTTTATTTTCTTTTTTGATTGTTTTTATTAAAAAATTTTTTTTATTTTCTCTTTTGTCTTATACCTCTTAAGAAAAAGAAAAAAAATTAGTCATGATATTTTAGTTCTTTAAAAACTAATATTAGATACAAAAAGATAAAAACCTCTTTTAGACAAAGTTTATAAAAAAAACTTTTTTTAGCTTATCTGTAAACTTTTGTAATAGATTATATTTAGGTACTAAAATAAGCAACCAGGTAAAGTTGAGCTCTAGATTAGTCTTAAAAATAAATATATATAAATTATATATACTAATAACTAAGAGGTCAAGCTATAGCAAGACTTATTAAAGAAATAGAAAAAAAAAAAAAATTAAAATCTATAGTTTTTAAAAAAAAAAAAAACTTAAAAAAAATAATTAAATTCTTATTTTAATTTTAAATTTCTTTAATATTTTAATTCTTTAAAAAATAATTTAAATATATATATATAAAGTTAATAAATTTGTAATCATGGTTACTATAACCAGTATTGTATATTGGACATTTTTTGAACATTTTGGACATTTTTTCAATTTAAAATTACTTAAAATTTTATTAAAATAATCTATTTTAATTCTTTTAAAAATGAATCCAGTATCTAAAAAACATATAATTATATATTTATTAAATTAATTTATTAATTATTGAGGGTTTGGGCTCTATAGCTAAATTGTTAAGTTGCCAAACCCCATGGAAATTAGGTTAAGGTTCACGGTTTGAGTCGGGCTGGAGGTAAAAAAAAACTCTATAACCTACAGGTGAAGAGCCAAAATCGAACACAGAGCCCTGTAGAAGTCCAAGTATAATACGGATTTGATAGAAAATTCCTGGAAGGAGATTTAACTATAGAGAGTTGGCATCACATTTGGCAAGCGGCATCATAGAAGGTCTGAACAATAGGTTCCACATGTTAATCTGTGGAAATCAAAACTATAGAAAGTTGGCGTTATGTTTAACAAGCAGTGTTATAGAAGGTTTTAAGACAAATAGGTTATGTGTGTAAATCCTCGAGGCACTAGGTAATACCAACAACCCAGGCGGTCTGGGATTTTGCTTGGGAGAGTAATACTAATGTTCTAAAACTAGAAGTAACAAGTGAAGCAGTGGATATAATGATAAATCTGCATAGTAGCACCAACAACCCAAGGGTCTGAGATCTTGTTTGGGAAAGTAATACTAATGTCCAAACTAGGAGTGATGAGCGAAGTGGTAGATATAGTAAAGATCTGTGGAAAAGGATTAGTCTAATTAAATTCTAAAAATATCTCTGGCACCTATATAAGGTTAGAAGTTGCGTTAGGTATTGCATTGTATATTACTAACTTCAGTAATGAGTACCATGCCAGT